ATATATATATATATATATATATATATATATATATATATATATATATATATATACATATGAATCTATATATATCTATATATATATATATATATATATGTAAATGTGTAAATATATGTATAAATGTATATAGGTCTACAGAGACATATATATATACATATAAATGAATATATATCTACAGAGAGAGAGGGAGAGAGAGAGAGAGAGAGAGAGAGAGAGAGAGAGACATGCATATATATATATATATATATATGTACAATCCATATATATAAATATATATATATATATAAATACGTATATATATATATATATGTTGGGGTGTATGCTGACCTGGCTTCGGGAAGGGCTAGGAAGAGACAGACGAAAGCTACGTCTTCTACGACGCCCAGCCGCTGCAGCGGCACCATCTTCACCAACGCATCTAGCTGCTGCTCCCCGCTGCTGCTGCTGCTGCTGCTGCTGTTGCTGCTGTTGTTGTTGTTGCTGCTGTTGCTGTTTCGGCTTCCGTTGCTGGTGCTGTGGGTGTTGTTGTTTCTGCTGTTGCTGTTGCTGCTGCTGCTGTTGCTGGTGTTTCTCCGCTGCTGTGCAGCAGGAGGAGCAGCAGCAACAGCAGCAGCAGCAGCAGGATTGATTTTAAGCATTCCTACTGTGTCTTTAATAGGCCCTGGTGCTACTGTATTCACTCGTATATTATACGGTCCCCACTCAACAGACATATGCTTGGTTAATGCGTCTATTGCTGCTTTTGCTGCACCTGCATGCGTCTGCAGCAGAGCCCCGCAGTAATGCAGCGTCATTGATATATTTATTATTGAACAAGGGCGTAATGTACAAGTGCTGCAGCCAGCAGCACCACCAGAACCAGCAGCAGCAGCAGCAGCAGCTGCTGCTGCTGCTGCTGCTGGTTTGAATGCTTGATGAAAGACTGCTTTTGATAGATTAAATACCCCAAGTGTATCGACAGCTAAGACAGCCCTAAATGCATTTAAAGAGAGTTTCTCTAAAGGCGCAAGAAAGTTACCGGCTGCGTTATTTATAAGAATATCAATATTATTAAACTGCTGCAGCACTGCTTTTACTGCAGCAGCAACAGAATCTGGGTCTCGGACGTCTGCGCAAACTGCTAAACATACACCACCTGTCTCCTGCTCCAGCTCCTGCAGCAGCAGCAGCAGCAGCAGCAACAGCAGCAGCAGCACAAGCAGCAGCAGCACATGCAAAAACAGCAGCACAGATAACTTCAACAGATGCATCGGAAAAAGCAGCAGCAGAAACCGCATCATCGTCATCCGCAGCAGCACAAGCAGCAGCAGCAGCACAAGCAACAGAGAAAGCAGCAGCACGAGCAGCAGCATCAACTGCAGCAGCAGCAGCATCAACTGCAGCAGCACAAGCAGCAGTAGCACAAGCAGCAGTAGCACAAGCAGCAGCAGCACAAGCAGCAGTAGCACAAGCAGCAGCAGCACCACAAGCAGCAGCACCACAAGCAGCAGCACCACAAGCAGCAGCAGCAGCATCACCACAAGCAGCAGCAGCAGCAGCACCACAAGCAGCATCACCACAAGCAGCAGCAGCAGCAGCAGCAGCAGCACAAGCAGGCGCAGGAGCAGCAGCATCAGCAGCAGCAGCAGCAATGCACCTTAGCTGCTTGTTGAAGCCTTTGTTTATTTCTAGAGAGTATAGCTACCCGGGCCCCGTGTTGAAGAAAAACTTTTGTTATCCCCCTACCAATGCCGGTGCTGCCCCCCGAGACGAGCACAGACAAACCCTTCAAGCAGTCGCCTTTAAAAGAGCTCATGCGCGCATTCGCACTCATCTTAGGGTTTAGGGTTCAGGGTTTAGGGTTTAGGGTTTTGGGTTTAGGGGAGGGTTTAGTTTCAATGCAGGATTTGTAAACCTTACGGCTTCGGAAACAACAGTTTAGGGTTTAGGGTTTAGGGTTTAGGGTTTAGGGTTTAGGGTTTAGGGTTTCAGTTGGCAGGCCCACTGGTGAGCCTAATGTACTGACAGGCCCACCGGTCTGGTGCGCACAAACCCTAAACCCTAATCCCTAAACCCTAAACCCTAAACTCTAAACCCTAAAACTATTTCTTTTAAAAATGAGTTATAAATCTTTAAAGCAAGGTCTGCTGCTTATTAAAGCACAAATTTCTCCTTACGGTAATCTGCTGCTCTACGGCGGTAGGCGGAGGTGACCCTAAACCCTAAACCCTAAACCCTGAACCCTAAACCCTAAACCCTAAACCCTGAACCCTAAACCCTAAACCCTGAACCCTAAACCCTAAACCCTAAACCCTAAACCCTAAACCCTAAATGTTTTTTGTGTTTTTACCAGTATCTGCAGCTTTTATATCATGTAGCTGAGTGGCTGTAGAGAGCTGCGCTCTCTGCAAACCCTAAACCCTAAACCCTAAACACTAAACCCTAAAGTCTTCACCACTCTGCTCGTTGAGGGCTTCCCCCGCTTCCCCCGAAGGGGTTTACAAACCCTCAAGGGTTTATTGCCAGAGTGATCCTGAAGGGTTTAGGGTTTAAGGGTAATAATATATATTGAGAAACGGGGTTTAGGGTTAAGGGTTTAGGGTTAGGGTGTAGGGTTAGGGTTTAGATAGACGGTCGTGCGCTACAACTTAAATCTTCGGGTTTATGTCTGCGGTTTAGTGCTAGGGTTTAGGGTTTAGGTAGACTGTTTAGGAATAGGGTTTATGATTAGGGTATGCAATTAGGGTTTAGGGTTAGGGTTTAGGGTTTAGCTAAGGCCTCCGGTACAGGATAGAGGCTTAAACTGGGTTACGGATTTAGGGTTAGGGCTTAGGCTTTAAGGCTAGGGTTTAGGGATAAGGTCTAGGTTAGGGTTTAGGGTTTAGGGTTTCGCTGAGTCCTTTTATAACCCCCAAACAAAGTAAAAAGGTTCTGCATGCAAAACCTTCTACAGCACTGCCCTGGGTAGCTGCTTAGGGTTTAGGGTTTATAAGGTGCTTAGGGTTTAGGGTTTTAGGGTTTTAGGGTTTAGGCTAGCTAGCTAGCTAGATAGCTAGCTAGCTATCCAAAACCCTAGGAGCGACTAAAGGGTCCTCTGTTGTCGTTGCATTCGGTGAAATTTACTGCAAAACCCTAAACCCTAAACCCTAAACCCTAAACCCTAAACCCTAGAGGACAAACTGGGGTCCCCAGCTGTTTGGTTTATTCAATAAGGAAACTCCTAAAAAGCGTAAAGAGACTGCTGCCTTCGGTGTCTAGCTGCTGCTGCTGCTGCTGCTGCTGCTGTTGCCGTTGCCACAAATGCCCACAGCAGCAACAGCAGCAGCAGCAGCAGCAACAGCAGCAGCAGCAGCAATGGCAGCAGCAGCCTATTCCTGGTGACGGTCTTTGCTGCTGCTTTCATTCTCCTCCACTCTTTCCGGTAGCGAGCGCAAACAGCTGCTGCTGCTGCTGCTGCTGCTGCTGCTGCTGCATCCGTTGTTGTTGTTGCTGCTGCTGCTGCACTCAAAAACACTGCAACTGTTGCGCCTCGTTTTCTCCGTCTCCTGCTGCTGCTGCTGATCTGCGTCTTGGTCTGACGGTCTCTCTAGGGGGCCCCCTTGAGGGTATTTGTATATATCTTCAACTGTCTCTCTTTGCATAGCCGCATCGCCTTCTTCAGACATTCTTGTCTGACGCAGGAAGTAAGCTGCTAATGCTGCCCATGCTGCATCTTTAGGGGGCCCCCTGCTGCTGCTGCTGCTGCTGTTGTTCTCCTCCTCACCCGGGGTACCTGCTGCTGGGAGATGCTGCTGCGCATCTGCTGCAGCTGCTGCTGTGTCTCCTTCTGTTGCAGCTGTATTTGATGCTTCGCTTCCTGTTGTTGCTGTTGCTGCTGCTGCTTCTGCTGCTGCTGTTGTTGCGTCTGCTGCAGCGTCTGCTGCTGCTGCTGCATTTTCTGAAGGTTGGGGCCCCCCTTCTGCTTCATGCAAATGGGTTTGTGTGTCTGTGCTGCTGCTGGTGCTGTTTTTGCTGCAGCTGGTGGTGCTGTTGCTGCTACTGCTGTTTTTGCTGCTGCTGCTGCTGCTGCTGTTATTTTTGTTGCTTGTATTTCTCTTTCCATTGCTGCTATTTTTGCTGTTGCTGTTGTTTTTGCTGCTGCTGCTGCTTGCTTCTGCTGCTGTTTCGCCTGTGCTGCTGTTACCTTTGCCCCTACCTCTGGCTGCAGCTGCTCGGTTTTGTTTTGTGTTTTGTCTCTGTCTCTTTTTGCTGGGGCTCTTAGGAGTTTGCGGCTGTCTTAATAAATCTCTCAGACGCACAGACTGTCTCCTTCTTTGCTGCAGCAGCATATCGTTGCTGCCAGCCCTGCGGCTATTATTAGGGGGGCCCCTGCTGCTGTTGCACCTGCGCAGCTCCAGCTGCAGCAACTCTTCTGTTTCTATTTCCTCCGCTGCTGCTGCTGCTGCTGCTGCTGTCTCCTTTTCGTTGTCTCCTTGGGTCCTATCTGCTTCTTCATCGGAGTTTTCAATAAATAACTCTGATGCCGTAGCTACACCCCACCCTTCTCCTGTCTCTGCTGCAGTTGCTGCTGTTCCTGCAGCAGCAGCAGCAGCAGCAGCAGCAGAGGGTGATCCCCCTCCTCCCGCTTCCCCCACACCCGCAGCAGCAGCAGCAGCAGCACCAGCAGCAGCAACAGGAGTAGAAGGAGAAGTATGTTTGTTCTGCTGCTGCTGCTGCTGCTGCAGCTGTTTCTGCTGCTGCTGCTGCTGCTGCTGCTGCTGCTTGAGTTTTTCGTCTTTGAGAAGTCTGCGAGCAGCGTAGAGACAGTGTTCAATATGCTTTTCACTAACTGGAGACGCCGATGCTGGTGGCGGCTCTCTAGCAATCTGAATAGCAGCCTCGGGGGAGTCAAAGCAAAGTTTTAATGCCGGAAGAGGCAGATAGCAATGCCTCTTAATATAGCTAGCTACAAGAGGCGCTACTTTATACGTCTTGCTTTGGCTGCACATGCATGCAGCAGAATGTCTTGCCTTCTCTAAATATATTATTACGCTTCCTCCTTCATAATATTTTATCTTTATCTCCGCAGGGCATAAACAATGCGGCACAATTCTCATCTCGCGAACCCTTTGCAAGCGACGCCGAGCATAAGCTGCTTCTCTTAAACCCGACAGAGACAAACATAAGTCTTCTCCTGCTGCTGCTGCTGCTCCTGCTGCTGCTGCTGCTCCTGCTGCTGGTGGTGGTGGTGGTGGTGGGGGGAGGGCTGGGAGTGATAGGGCTGTTCCTGGGTGCAATGCTGCTGCTGCTGCTGTTGCTGCTGCTGCTGCTGCAGCAGCAGCTGCTGCTGCTGCTGCGTTTGTTTTCATTCTGTCTCTGTTTTGAGCTCGCTGTATTCTTTCTTGCTGCTGCCGCTGCTGTCTCTCTTCTTCTGTCTCGCGTCTCTGTCTCTTCTTCTTCGTCTCTGTCTCTTCTTCTTCGTCTGTCTCTTCATCGCCCTCTGTCTCTTCATCTCCCTCCGTCTCTTCATCTGTCTCTTCATCAGCTGTCTCTTCATCTGTCTCTTCTTCATCTGTCTCCTCTTCATCTGTCTCCTCTTCATCTTCTTCTTCTTCTTCTTCTTCTTCTTCTGTCTCCGTTCCCAGCTCCGGCTCTGCATCTGCCACTTCAGCAACAGCAACAGCAGCAGCAGCAGCACCTGCTGCAGCAGCAGCTGCTGCTGCTGCAGCAGCAGCAGCAGTAGGATCGTCTGACGAGGAGGAGCACAGGGCCAGCTGCAGCTGCTTCTGCTGCTGTTGGAGTTGCTGCTGCTCCTTCAGGAGCTGCTGCTGCTGCTGCTGAAGCTGCTGCAGGTTGGGGTGCCCTTGCTGTTTCTGCTTTCGGATGTATTGAAGTTGCTGCACTTGCTTGTGCAGTGCTGCTGCTTCTGCTTCTAGCTGCTGCAGCGGCGTTAATGTTCTACGCTGCTGTCTCTTCCGCCGCTTCTCACTTGTTTTTCTGTCTTTTATTCGTCGTCTCAGCTTCTGCAGTTTATCTTGGAGACAGAAGATAGTCTTTTCAACATCACACAAGCTCAACGTCTTGCTGCTGCTGCTGCTGCTGCTGCTGCTGCTGGTAGTAGTAGTGTTGCTGCTATTGTTGCTGTTGGGTGCAGCAGCAGCAGCAACAACAGCGCCAGCAGCAGCAGTAGTTTGACTGTCTCCTTCATTCTCCCTGTCTCCGATCTGTCTCCTTTCTGTCTCCTTTGACACACAAGACCCCCCTGAATCAGCTTGTGCTGCTGCTGCTGCTGCTGTTGCTGCTGCTGTTGCTGGATCTGCTGCTGCAGCAGCAGCAGCAGGAGCTTCTGCTGCTGGTGCTGCAGCAATAGCTTCTTGCTGCTCTTCATCGATAAACCTCCGGCAATATTTTCTGTAGGAGACGAAATCATTTGGGTTTCTATGATGTTTACATTTATATGTTGCGGTGTATATAGGGAACTTAGAGTTTGCTGCTGTTGCTGTTGCTGCTGCTGCTGCTGCTGCTGCTGCTGAGGGTTTATTAGGGTTTAGGGCTTTGCTAACCCCTTTACGAGGCTGCTTCGGCTTGTGAGTCCTGACAAGAATAAAAAAAAAATTATCAGCAGATTTCTGCTGCTCTATCCATTTGTTAGCAGCAGCAACAGAAGCAAAATGAAGCTGCACACAACACAACACAAACCCTAAACCCTAAACCCTAAACCCTAAACCTTTAGGGAGACACAACAGCTGAGATCAAACCAAATGAATAAACCATACAACAAATAGCAAGGGCTTAGGGTTTAGGGTTTAGGGTTTAGGGTTTAGGGTTTAGCGAAGCACCTCCTTGGGGGAAGTCTCCAACGCCTCGGAGGGCGCTGGCGGTGCAGCAGCTTCCTCCATGCTGCTGCTGCTGCTGCTGCAGTTGCTGCTGCTGTTGTTGCTGCTGCTGATGCTGGATCTGGCTGTGCTGCTGTTTCTGGGGCTGTGATTGTTCTTGCTGCTGCTGTCGCTGCTGCTGTTTCTGCTGCTGTTTCTGCTGCTGCTGCTGTTTCTGCTGCTGCTGCTGTTGCTGCAGCTGCTGGCGTGGCTGTTGTTGCTGCTGTCGTTGCAGACGTTGCTGCACTTGCTGCTGCTGCTGCTGACTGTACCAGTGGTAGAGCCGCAGTTGCTGCTGTCTTCTTTGCTGCAGGAATGCTAGCAGCAGCAGCAGCAACAGCAGCAGCACCAGCACCTCCCTCAACGGGGTTGAGTGGACCCGTGCGCAGCCAGCAGTTTCGAAGCCCTAAACCCTAAACCCTAAACCCTAAACCCTCAGTCTTAAAAATCATATTAAAAAGTTTAAATAGTTGCAGACAGGAGTTGATGCACTGCCTTTGTTGCCGAGACCCCCATTAGGGTTTAGGGTTTAGGGTTTAGGGTTTAGGGTTTAGTAGCCGGGGAACGCGTAAGCACATTCTATAAAAGAAGATAAACAAATAAAAAACAAATTCGCCCCCTGAAACTCAAATTTGGTGTCTAGGGTTTAGGGTTTAGGGTTTAGGGTTTAGGAGATGGATGTTAGGGTTTAGGGTTTAGTGGTCTCGATATGCCTGCTGCAGCCGCAAGTGCATGCACGACACGAAGCTACCCTAAACCCTAGACCCTAAACCCTAAACCCTAAAGCCTGAAGTTTAAAATCTAAATCTTAGATCCATGAAACTAAACCCTAAACCTTAAACCCTAAACCCTAAACCGCTATCCGTTGTTTCGTTCTGCACACAGAAGACCCTAGGCTTCCCTCAAGGGCCCACGATCATCGCCACTAAACCCTAAACCCTAAACCCTAAACCCTAAACCCTGCAAGGAGAAATACGAGTTTCTTCTAAGGGCGCTGTTGGGGGGCGCTGCATCTTCTGTAGCCGTATACCTTCTGCACAGCAGCAGCAGCAGCAGCAGCAGCAGCAGCTTCATCATCAACAGCAGCAGGAACTACAGCAGCAAAACCCTCAACAGCAGCATCAACAGCAGGAACTACAGCAGCAAAACCCTGAGCAGCAGCAGCATCAGCAGCATCAGGAGCAGCATCAGCAACAGCAGCAAATTCTTCTCAATTCAATAGCCGCAGCAGCAATACCAAAGGGGGCCCTTTATGAGAAGGGGCCCCTCAGGGGGGCCCCCAGGAGCTGGGGGCCCCTCCCTTGGGGGCCCCTCATCTGGGGGCCCCCCTTGTGGGGTCCCCTTAGGGGCCCCCTCTTCTGGGGCCCCTTCTTCTGGGGGCCCCCCCGGGGGCCCCTCTATTAACGGCCCTTCCTTTGGGGGCCCCTGTGGGGGCCCCTATGTTGGGGGCCCTTACTGTGGGGGCCCCTCTGGGGAACCTTCTTCTGATGACTCCTCCGGGTGTCTCTCTGGGGCCCCTTCCTTTGATACCCCTAATGGGGGCCCCTCCTTTGGGGGCCCCTCAGTTGAGAGCCCCTCTGGGGGCCCCCCTGAAGGTCCCCCTGAGGGCCCCTTTGGGGGCCCCCCTATGGACCCTTTTGAGGGGCCCCCGGGGGGCCCCCCTGGGGGGCCCCCTGTGGACCCTTTTGGGGGGCCCCTTGGGGGCCCCCCTAGCTTGTGTGTCGGTAGAGAATTAAGTCATGAGGAGATGTTTCACTGGCATAGATATCAGCAAGGCCCTTCAACAGCAGCAGCAGCAGCAGCAGCAGCAGCAGCAGCAGCAGCAGCAACACCTGGTGCTGTAACGGAGGAAGAAACAACGGGAGGGGGGGTTGGAGCAGCAGAAGCTGCAGCAGCAGCAGCAGGAACAGCTGCAGCCGCAGCAGCAAAGGAACCCTGGTTGCCTCCTCGTCTGATACGGTGTAGAGACACCGCAGGGCTGCTACTGCAGCAGCAGCAGCTGCAGCAGCAGGGTTGGGATTTGCGCTGCCGCAGAGCGCAGCAAGAGCTGCATGCAGCAGCAGCAGACAGCAACAGGGGGGCACTCTGGGGCCCCTTTATACCCGCCCCACACCTACACTACACACCCAGCAGCAGCAGCAGCAGCAGCAGCAGCAGCAGATGCAACTTCAAAACTTATCTACTGCCGCTGAGGGCGGGGGAGTGGCTGGCGGTTCGCCGTGCAGTTTGGTTTAGAGTCCTTAGGTAAAACCCTAAACCCTAAACCCTAAACCCTAAACCTTAGCTTGCAGTTTTTTCTAGTTTGTATAGAATCTGTTGCTCCTGTTGCGGTTTCTACCGCTGCCATTGATGCTGCTACAACTCCTGCTTGTCCTGCTGTTGCTGTTGCTGCTGCCACTGCTGTTGCTGTTCCTGCTGCTGCTGCTGCTGCTGCTGCTGGTGTATGTGTAGGGGTCTGGCGGAGTGTAGAGGGCATTTCTTTGCCCCCAGCGTTTGTTATAATTTAGTTTTTGCTGAGGGGCCCCCAAGAGAAGAAACCGCCAGCTGGGAGGCCCCGCTGCCGGCTCCCCTCAGCAGCAGCAGCAGCAGCAGCAGCAGCAGCAGCAGCAG